CATCTTTCAGATTGCCAAGGAATAAATCTGAACTAGAACAACAAGAAAAGAAGGAAAGAAATAACAAAGGTCATAGCAAAAATAAACAAAAGAGCCCTTCCCCCAACCCTCCCCCCCAAATCATTGAATGAAGAAAAGGTTCTTTGAAGAGATCAACAAAACTGAAAAATGTTTAGCAAGACTAACCAAAAGAAAAGGAGAGAAGACCCAAATAAATAAAATCAGAGATAAAAAGGAGCCATTACAGCTGATAAATGATTATAACTTATAGCACAGAGGCTCATTAGAGACTATTACGAACAAATTTGAAAACCTAGAAGGAATGGATAAATTTCTGAGCACAAAGCATTTACCAAATTTGAACCATGAAGACACAGAGAATCTGAACAAACCAATAGTGAATAATGAGATTGAATCAGTAAATTAAAAGTCTCTGAACAAAGAAAATCCCAGGACTACATGGCTCCACTGGTGAATTTTAACAAAAGATGTAAAGAAGAATTAATACTAACTCTTCTCAAACCATTACAACAAATCAAAAGGCAAAGAATACTTCCAAACTTATTCTATGAGGTCATGATACCATGATACCAAAAAACAAAGAGAACAAAAAGATAAAACTATAAACTAATATCCTTGATAATAAAGATACAACAAAAAGATAAAACTATAAACTAATATCCCTGATAGATGCAAAAATTCTTAACAAAATTCTAGCAAAGTCAATCCAACAGCATATGAAAAAGATAATGCATCAGGATCAAGCAGTGTTTATCCCAGGAATGTAAATTGATAAAATGATAAATGTTATACACCAAATTTATAAATGGCATACACCAAATTAACAGAATCAAGGACCAAACTATGTGACCATCTCAACAGATGCAGAAAAAATTCAACAGCTTTCATGATAAGGAAGAAATCTTCCAAAAATCAGATATAAAAGCAGCATTCATTAACACAGTAAAGACCACAAACCTACAGCAATATCAAAACAAGTGGAAACACTGGCACTGGTTCCCCAAGAGTAGGAACCAGACAGGGATGTCCACTTTCACCACTCTTATTCAACATGGTATTGAGAGTCATAGCAAAAGCAATTAGGCAAGAGAAGGAAGTAAAGTCCTTTACTTTCCAAAGTATATTTGATATAAATAACCTAAGGATGCTGTTAGAACTGGTAAATTCGGTTAAGTCACAGGATACAAAATCAATGTATCCAAATCAGTAGCATTTTTATACTAGTAATGAATTGCAGTGAAAGAAATCAAGACAGTAATCTTATTTATAACACACACACACACACACACACACACACACACACCTAGAAATAAATTTAAGTTAACAGAAAAATCTCAGACCAGAGTGGTGTGCTCTAGACCTTTACAGCTGACCTGATGGAAGAATCCAGCCCTGTACATCATGAAGCATTTCCAATCGATTTAGACCACAGGCCACTTACTTCTTCCCACAGACACCAGGTGTGTTGTGTACCAGACATAGTTCCAAAAAAAGGTCTTGCGTTGGTGTCTTAGTTACTTTTTCTCATTGCTGAGACAAAATACTTGACACCCAAAGTTAAAGAAGGAAAGGTTTATTTAGCTCACAGTTTGTAAAGGTTTCAGTCCATGGTTGGCTGGCTCCAAGGCAGGGTCATGTGGCAGAGGAGAAACGCACGGTTCATGGCAGGCAGAAACCAGGAGCAATAAGGCAGCAAGCAGCAAAGCAGGAAAGCAGCAAGTGACAAGAAGCGACCCTCTTTCTGTCCCTTATATACTTTCCAGGCCACCTACCCATAGCACCCACACCAAGGGTGGGGCATCATTAATCCTAGCATCACACCATGAATCAGTTCCAGCATCACATCTTTGATCCCAGCATCACACACCCTGCATCCATCCACCTCCAAAATGCCCCGCCTATGACTTAGTGAGGCTTTCGGGGGGACATCTAGCTAGAGGCCATAACAGTTGGCATCTCCTCTTCAAGAGAACACTGATTTGCACACACACAGTGCTTATGCAAGTGTCTGTAATCTCCAGAGCAGGTGTCATAGTAGGTGAGCTGCACTGGAGAAAAGCTGCCATTTTGTGAGAAAGTAGCAGGAATTCTAAGGTCACTAGGGGACAGACGGGAACAGATAGGAAAGCAAGAGGGAGATTCTCACTTCTATGAGAAAAAGCCAGAATGAGGATAATAAACAAAAACCGAATGGCTTTTATAGTTCAGCAACATTAAATATACATAGTAGTTCACCTTATATGAGAGAAAAGGACACTCTACATTAGTGCCAATAAAAAGACTCATTGGGATTATTATAATTTTAAATCAAATTTAATCTATATTCAAGAAAATGCATATTATATTATTAATACATTCCCTAAAACTATTTTCCTCTTATTATAAAATTTACCTGACAAAAACCATCATGAATCTTTATTGTTTTTAGGCAACATAGAATACAGCATTTAATCCCTTATAATGTAAAGAAAATCTATAACAACCAGATTCAAAAGGCTTGAAAATTGTTCTAATTCACCAAATTAGTAAAAAGCATTTTTTTCCCATTAAGTTTATTGGTACATTTTAGGTATAAAATACAGTTACATTCATCATTAGGATCCTGTACCTTTACATGATGTATCTTGGTTCTTATTTTTTCCCCATTCTCCTGCCCTCCCTTCACCCCCTCCACCCTTCCCTATTTGCAAAGACTTTGTTTCCATTTTTTTCCTTTCCTCATATTTTTTCTTTTCCCTTTTTTCCTTTCCCCTACCCCTCCCACTTTCCCTGCTCCTTTAGACCTTTCTTCCTATTACACAATATCAATTATACATTTTTAAAAAGCATTTTTATTAAATTAAAAAATTCTTAATTTCTTTAAAAATTTACTCATCAATAAATCAGTGTCTGCCTTTTAAAATAGGAGGAGAAAAATACAGCTAATTTCATTTTTAAAAGCATCATAAATTTAATAAAAACATATAAAAAGTAACTAAATTACATATTAATAAAAGAATTAGAAATAAAATAGACCCACTGAGTCATGTTCAGGTACAAACACCCAATGATAAATGTAAATGTACTGTATACCTAAAATGTACCAATTAATATATAAATAATTTTTTTAAAAAGTGGAAAAAAAAAGATAAAATAGAAAGCACTTTGGTGTTGATCATGAGTAAGATAATGAGAATTAAGAGAGTTAGAACAAGGCTTGTGAATTAGAAAGAAGATTGCCACTGTTGCCCTTGCTGCCCTGCAGGGGTCATGGTGGGCAAGGCACATAAATCACTATTCATTCCTTAAAGAGCACTGAGTGCTTACTCTGTGCCAATCAGTAGATGACAACTGGGGTGTCCCAGGGAAAAACAAACAGCACCTCATCTCTGTTGTGCTGGTATCACAACTGTTTCTTTCAGATTTGTATTTTGACAGAATTATGAAGTACCATGGCGATTGCCTCCAGCCTTATAGTTTAAACACTGTCTGCAGAGTAAATAGTTCCAACTTTCTATCTCCAGGTCTGCAGCCCTTCTCTGGAATCTGGACTTGTGCATTCTGCCTTGTGGCTGTGAAGCAGGCAGTGCAATTCCAGCCAGACTCCTGATCTGTTCCCAGAACTGAGGCCCACCAGTGGTAGGTCATCCTGAAGTCTTTTCTTTTGCCAAGATTCCTGGCAGAAAATCCTTTGGCTCCGTGTTAGAAACCCCAGTGCCCCAGGCCCCAGTGTTTTCTCCTCTCCAGTCACCTTTACCAGAAGTCCTGGCTGCAACATGGAACAGCTCCTAACTGGCCACAGTTTGCCTGCCCTTAAGTCCATATGTTCTCACCAAGGTGACAGTGTTAAGATGTGAGTCATATTGTGTCACGCTTGCTTAACACCCGAGTAACTTAGTACACTGTTCAGTGGAAAGTCCAGTAACAGCCCCATGTGACTGGGCCCGTCATATCCCCCAACCCCACTGCCCCTTGCTCTTCTAGACACAACACACAGCACACTGTAAGTTCAATGGGAATGGATCAATAACATATATTAAATAATTTGTTTTAAACAGATAGGTGCATAAAAGGAGGCTTTGTATTGATTGGTTGGTTGATGAAAATACTGTGACCAGAGGCTTTTAGCAATCTAACCCTGTATTTCCTTTAGGAGTAAGTCTTATTTTTATATAGTTCAGTATCCCCAGGACTTTACAAGATATACTGCCATGAATGACAAGCATTGGCTGAAGAGATGTTGTTGCCCTGTGTATAATTGGGAAGAATAATATGTTGGTGCTGGGGATAAGGTCAGGAGGGCAGAAAGGGGATCAGAAGTACACTGGTCTTTTTATTAATGTTCTAATTTTGCAGGCTTTCCAACCATTTGGAATAACCTAGACTGTCAGATAAGGCAAAGTCAGATTCAATTTTTTCTCAGTGGCCTCAGTGATGAGACTGTAGTTGTTCATATGTGTGATGTATCTTGGTGGCACACTTTAAAGCTGGAATATGATTCTCTCCAGCAACCAGCTTGATTAAAAAGTCCCAAAAGTAAATTGTGAATTGTGCCTAGACTTAATTTAAGAGCAACTCTCTATGGGACTGATCTTTAAAATTTGAGCACATATATAGCATTTTGAACACAATGTGACTTGAGTTTACATTTTTCTGTGAAGTTGCTTCAAAGGACAATTTCTCACTAAAGACCACCTACTGCATACTACCCCGTTATAACCACCTTAGCATTAGAGAAAACAGCTGAAGCAGGAAGGCCCCACTCCTTCTTCTCTGCTCCGCTGAAGTGGGTCGTAAGGTACTCATTTCAGAGGTGTTCTCTCTGGAAAATGGGAGGAAGAGGCTCACCCTTATTTCTGAGGATGAAAAGCCACAGAGAAGAACCCAGACAAACAGGCTTGTAGCCCTTTCCTGTAGTCTATTAGCATTCCATCTTACTTACACAACAACTCCATTTAGTCACTTCCCACCAGCCCCAGCATAAAAGTACATGAGGTTACCTGTGTTGGGGGGACTTCTTTTCTGAGGCCTCCATGACAGAGAAAACGTAAATGAATTTGTATGTTTCTCTCTTGTTAGATGGGCTTTTCTTGTGGGTCTTCTGTCATGAGCCTAATGGGTAAGGAAAAGATAAATATTTTCGTTCCTACATTGCTGTTATGTTATGTAATGATCACTTTCATCTCTACATTACCATTATCTTCAGGGTTCCTCAAAGGTCTAAGGGCTAAGGTCCGATACCCAGCTCATGAGGCCATGCGGAGGTGGAAGTCCCACCCCCTCATTTGGGAGTCACTAGGGTGCGCCCTGGAGAAGATGTTTGGATCCAGGCCCCTTCTATCTCTGCATCCCAACCTCTGCCAGGTGATCTGTCTTTCCTGCCACTCATTCTTGCCACCTTGATGTCCTTCACTCCCTCAGACCTGAAATGACAGAGCCAACTGACCACACACTGAAATCTATAGAACTGTGAGCCAGAATAAACCACTCCACCTTTGAAGTGGATTTTCTCAAGTGTTTGGTCACAGGGTCAGAAAACTGATGAATACAATTACTATACTGGAGTCATATTATCAACTTGCTCATTCAGTTAAATTTTGTCCCATAAATATACACATTATTCTGTGTCAATTAAAAATAAAATAAATCAAACGTCCTAATAATAGTTGATAAGGCTATGAATAATCTAATCATTGCTTTCTGTTAAAACTGTTTGCTTAATTAAAAATGGTTTCAAACAAGTGGAGGAGCTTGGCTGTTGATAGTTATCCTACCAGAGATTTACCCAATGTTCACTTTTCAATTTTTATTTTTTCTTAGAACATGTCTACCATGCACAATAATCACTGTCCTCACAGGGAGTTGGTACATGGACATCAGAACACATCTCAGTTCCTTTTTGTCCCTTCCCCTCCTTACTTTTCCCCCGTCTCTTGATCCATTTCCCTACTGCAAAAGATCTACCTCCCTACTTTCCATTATCTTTTATTTTGCTCTTTACTTACATTTTGGGTTTCTCATACAAGAGAAACCATATGATATTTAAGCTTGTGTGTCTGATTAAAAGTTAGACTCAATCAAAATATGGACAAGTGAAATGAGTAGACACTTCTTAGAAGAAGTACAAATGGCCAATACACACATGAAAAAGTGTTCAACATTGCTGACCTTTTGAGAAGTGCAAATTAAACATCACTGAGATCCTATCTTACTCCAGAAGGAGAGGATATCATCAGAAAATCAAATAATAAAAGACGTGGCAAGGCTGGGGCGGGGGAGGAAACCTTTCACATTGTTTAAGGGAGTGTAAACTAGTACAACCACTATGTGAAACAGTGTGGAGACTCCTCAAAAAGCTAAAGCTAAACATTCCATGAGACCCAGCTATTCCCCTTCTAGGTATCCTCACAAAGAGTTAAAGACATCACCTTACAGTGACCCACGCACGCCCATGCTTTATAACAGCCCAGCTCATCACACCCAAAGCTCACTTTGTCCGATTGGTTCACATCTTTTCAGGAAGCGCCATACAAGTGCACCTGCACACCTGTCATTCTCCACTGGCCTTCCTTCCCTCCTGTCCCAGGCACAGTGTTTCCAGGCTGGCTGGCAGGCGGACATCCCTCTTTGCCTCTTACCCTTACTACTTCTGCACTGAATCATGAAAAACAGCCTGGCTTGGGCATTTGCGGTTTTCACATACCAAGCATAACTCTACATTTCTTTCTGTACGTTTTGTGGTTAACATTGCTTTTCATCCATCCTGTCAATCTCTACTTTTTAATTAGGGTATTTAGACCATTTATCTTTAAGACAATCATTAACACATTAAAGGGTAAGTCTGTCATTTTATTGTTTGTTCTCTGCTTGTTTCTTCTTTTTATTTTCCTTCTTTCTTATCTTCTTATTGGTGGTATGAATATATTTTTAAGATATCAGCTTGGTTTGTTAACATTATATTTCAGTAGATTTCTTCATTTGGTTTTCCTGGTGGTTGTTCTAGATATCAGAATAACATAACTCATTACTGTTACTACAACTGACATCTTACCACTTTGACTAAAGTGCAGGAATTGCTAGCTCTCTTTCTCCTCGTGTTTTAAACAAAATCATCTCAGCCCCTTCTTCACGTGGCATCATAACTTTTGTTTCAACCACCAGACATGATTTTAAAGGTTCCTGAGCAGTAAGATTGTCTACTAAACAGTATTTTTACCCATCCCCACATTCCTTCCTTCTGAACTTAGAAGACTTCTATTATCATTTCCTTCCTGCCTAGAGCATTTCCTTTAGCCATTCTTTAGAGGTAGGTACCCTTGCAACAAATTCATTTTCTTTCATCTGACAATGGCTTCATTTCCCTTTCATCCTTGAAGGATGATTTCTGAGGGTGTAGAGCTTGCACTTGACAGTTCTTTTCTTCCAGAACTATGAAGAGCTCACTCCCAAATGGCTTCTGTGGTTTGAGATGAGAAATCTGTCGCCATCTGAATTGGCCTCTCCTGTAAGCGATACCTCATTTCTCTCTGGCTGCTGTAATGGTTTCACTTTTTTTCTGGGCTCCAGGAATATGAATGTTAACTCTTTGGGCAGCAGATCCCTGCTCTGTCATTTTATCTCTCTTCAGATGGTAAATTATATTGACCTGACCTCCAGTCTGCAAGTTCGTCCTCTATCCCACCTCTGAGCCTGTTCAGTTTTTGAGCTTTTATTCTTCAGTTCTACTCCTTCCATTTTAAAATTCTAACTTCTATTTCTTTGTTGACATTTGCTATTTTCATTTGTTTCCAGGGAACCCATAGTTGCTTCTTGAATCACTTGATGACCGTCACCTTGCAATGCTGGTCATCAGTTACAATATTGGAGCCAACTCTCTGATGTTGGAATCAGTTGATCTTCTCTTCTTGTGCAAGCTGTGATTTTCCTGGTTCTTGGTATGATGAGTGATTCTTGATTATACTGTGGCTATTTGGATGGTATATTATGAGGTTTTGCATCTTCTTTAATCTTTTTAAGTAGGCAGTGCCTCCAGGGCAGTGCATATGTTCTGCTTCCTACTGGGAGCCAGGACATGAGGAAAAAGCAAGGCATTGACCTCCCTACTTCCCACCTCCACGTTCTGCATCACTGATGCCAGGGAGGGCAGGGGCTGCTTAGCCCACATTACATCTTGATGATGTCCCACAGGAGCCAGATTCCCTTACCTGCTGTCCAGGGGCAGGTGACATGGAGGAACAGCAACTTCCTACTTGTGCCTTCCAAAGCCATGGCGGCCACAAGTACCACTCCTGCTTCACTGGAAGCGGGTAAGTATGCCAGAAAACCCTTCTGCTGTTAGGCCACACTAACAGGCTGTTTTGGAGCTCTGGGTTGGAGTTCCTGCAGTGTCTTGTCTGGTCACCCCTTGGTCCTGATGTTCCTGGGCAGTGCACCTTCTCTCTTTTCAGTACTCTACACAATCATTGGTGTCATGTCCAGGACTTATATTTTACAGGTAGAACCTGGGATGGAGGGAGACACTCCATCCTGAAAGAACCACCAAGGATATATGTTTTGGAATTTGTAAACCTGCAGTTCGGTTCCTCCAGCTTAGTAACCACTGTGGTCTATTATAGGAAACAGCATCGTTTTCTGACCCACTGTTCTATTCATAGACATTTGGATTTTTCATCTATTATAAATAGTGATTAACAGTGTATCTCTTGATGTAGCCTGTCCTAAATATACACCAAAAGAATAGAGTTGATAATTTGTAATCATCCCTCTGTTTTCTGCCCCTCTCTCCTTACTTGGTGGTTTTGTGATATTTTCTGCTGAGTTCCAGAGACCCCCTTCATAGGAGCAGGTTTTAAGTGCCCCTTTGGGGCCTCAGGGACCGTAAATATCCAGTCCTGAGCCAGGAGGACAGCTGCTCCCTGTTCTGGGTTGTAGGGTACCTCAGATTCCTCCAAGCTCTTGGAATGTATAGGTGTCAATGACAACTATTTTTATCACCTACTAACTGGAAGAGGACTTCTACCTCTAGTTCTAAGTCAAGCAATGTGCCTGTGTTCTGCTACCCCTGGGCAAGGACACTTCTGGACTTGGTTGCCCTGCATTAACCACGTGTATGATCAGAGATCACCAGGATCTTACTTTGACCCTAATTAATACTTTGCATCTCTATTTGCTGGGTTTATTCTTCTGAGATTATATGTTGCTTAAAGCCAGCAATGTCTCCAAATTTTCCTCTGATGATGCTTTATGTATCATTGCTTCATATCTGAAGCTGAGGGCAGTTGAAAGAGAGGAGGCCGAAGATGAAGTTGTGGAGTCACCTTACAAAAGTCCCTACATAACTTTTCTCTTCTGTTATTCCCTCCTTCTCTCCCAGTGCAGGTAGAGCATTGACCAATCTGGTCCATCTTTTGGTACTGCACATTTTTTCCCACTTTAGAGTCCTCATATGCGATTGATTCTCTAGGGTATTAACTTAAATATAGCTATTCAAAGTCTTCTTTCAAATGCCAGAGTAAATTAATCCCCCCATATTCAATATAAGCCCCTGTCTGCTTTCTTCACATCCTTCATTGCAACTTATGGTTACTGTATGTTATGTGTCTTCTTATTCTTTTAATGTCTCATCCACCACCATAGGAGATGTGTGATTGCTGGGTTGTGCCTAGCTAGAGAAATCGCATCCTCCAAGTCTCAGATGGTGCTTGGTACCTGATAAGGTCTGTACTCACTGTATAAGTGCTAAGTAACAGAAGACCAGCTTCCATGGTGATAACCTGTCTTTCATCATCACTAGTAATTTGAGTGGAAACATTTTCCACATACAACTTTGTTTTTAATTTATTCATATGCAAGCTAAATGAGAAAACACTTAGAATTAATACCCTGCACCTGACTATATTACGTGATGAAGATGATAAAAGAGTAATCTATTTCCTTCTCTTCCCGTTTTATGTCTGTTTTGCAGATTCACAGTCCCATTGATCCTCTATTCCCCTCCCTTCTCCTTCACACAAATACATTCTCAAAGAAAACTCACATCGTTTCTTCACATGCCACTATGGGTGAGATACAAAAAGCTCTCACACTGGGCAG